GTTCAGCGTCTTAACCACTTGAGCCACCGCAGCTCAAGTTACAAGCTACAAGCCCGCAAAACAAGACCCTCACAATGTTAAACGAATATTACTTACCAAACTAATAAACTTCACATCAATCCTAACCAACTATCTATACGAGATAGCTAGCACCAGGACAAGTACTTCTAGCTCATCCAGATATCTTATTTGCTGACCTAGGCTGCCAATGTACATGGAAGTATCTGGCAAAAAGGACTGTATCTATTCAAATCACATAATAATCTGTATTACATGCACGTGATATGAAATTAGGTAAATTTAGTATGCTCATAGTAATCGGGGCAAAAGTGATGTACCTAATGTTGTCAAAGACAGACAGCAGATTCAGATAGTATTTCAATTTTCATCACACACGGAGACATACAATTACCAAGTGAGGAAAGCCACATAGTGTTGTTGTCTGAAGACGCTCAGCCTTTGGTACTATGTACTCAACACGCTGCAAACTTGTCAAAAGAATGATGGTATTAGGAACCATCACGCATTTGACCTCTTGAGACAGCCATATAATGAGTCTTTGACTCTGGTTGTTGTGACCTGCCCTGAGCCTGCCTGCTCTGGGGAAGGCGGAATAAAAATCCGAAAAATAAATAAAATGTTTATACATTTGCTGTGAGGAACTCATGTGACGCAGGGCAAGGTAGTAAAAAAAGAGTTTGCATCATAAATAAAATTAAGGACTGAACAAAGATGCTTCATCACACATTAATAGAGACTGAAATATTCATTGATGCCTACAGCATTTAACAAAGGATTGGGAGAAAGACTCTTTTCAACTATTAAAATACAGTGCCACTTCAAAGAAAACAAATCTTATTTCCCACACAGCACTAAAGTTAATGCACTAAATGTATTATTTTCTATCATTCAATCTGTTTGCTTTGATCTTCGCCCTCCCAATACTGTTTTCTAGCTCTGAAAACAAGGTCTATGCTTCTGCCAGTACAGTTGAAAGTTTGCTGCTCTGTTTACTTCACCACTAATAACTAACCTGTAATAACTAACCTGGAACAAAGCTAGCACATGGAGTGATCATGTCTGAGTTGTATGAACTGAGTTACACATCCTTTGTGTACCAGAAAATGCCAAAAAGCTCCTCCAATTTAACAAGGAGCTGCTTCCCCGACCCTCTGACTTGGACCAGAAGGGGTACAAATCTTAATCAGTTTTAATTTTAAGAGTAACACAAGAATCTCTTCATATATTACAGGAAAGCACTTTGAGTGTACAAATTTTGAAATCTTCATGCGAGTCATTTCATGGGACTGTCTTTTGTGCGTGTAATTCACCAAATATTGATCCACTGGCAAATCAAGGAGTTGCATCCTGAGGTAAATCCTGATGAACTTTTAACAGTGAAGAATAGGGAACCTCCAAGAACGGGATGAGGGGAAATTAACAGAAAGCAACATTCCCCATTGTTTATCAGCAGAAATTTCCCATTGGATTCAACCCAATATGGCACATGGCATTCCAGCATACGTACACTCAGCAAATTAAACATACAATTGTTCCAGCATTTGTACACTCAGCAAGTTACATGTATGTAGGATTGTTTGTATGAAATGAAGCCTTACTGCTATTACTCTATCAACCCTACTTCCTTCTCATCTCACCTGTTTCCTCCAGTTCCACTTCTTAGAGCTTCTCTCTGGATGCTTTCCACAAAAGTCTCCAAGAACAATTCTTTTGATTTTCCAGACATTCTCATTCAGCAAGCCAACACAAATGCACTCCATTTGCATTCTCCCCCTCAGGGCCTTTCCCCTCTAAAAAGCTTCCCAATTAGCACAAAACCAAAAATTCAGTTGTAACAAACCTGACCCTGCTTTCAGTTGCTTAAAGGAACCAAACAATTTGAATAACTACATCCTCACATAGCATCAACGTTTTCTAGAATTCTAAGCATTCAATAAATTTTTAGACACATGTCTCAAAATGAATGCTAAAATGGCAAAAAATACAACCCTCTGCCTTCAAAATCTAGATGTTTCTAGAACTTGCAATGCCATTTATACCTTGACTTTCCTGCTACATTACAAAAAATGGATAGGTGCTTCAATTTAGTTTCAGCTCAAAAACATACACGGACAGATGGGGTTCGCACGTTTCCAGCAGTTTTCATCCCCCAATCAGAAAATGCTGGTGGTTGCTACAGGCTTTATAGCTGCTTTTATAGATGTACAGATGGTGGGACTGAAGGCAAATAAACTGCACCATTTGAATGCAAGGCTCTTCCCACATTTTAATATATAGGCTAGAACATGAAGAGTTGTGCTGAGTTCTGAGCCTGTACTGGGAACTCTGCTTCTCCCACCAAAACCCCTCATATTTCCTGAGCAGTTGCTCCTGACGTTGACGGGCCATATGGACCAGCAACCAGTGCAACCCAAAGGACTGCTAGCAAAAAGGGAAATCAGCAGTCCCTGTAGGCATACAGATTACATACAGGACTCTTTGGATACAAGCCACTGAAGACTGAGAGGTATAACACAGGTTAGTAATTTTAAAAAGTAATTCTATTTTTCTACTGATTGTAACGGTCCTTTTCAACTATGATTGCATTTTGACTGACCAATAACTCATCAATGTACACCTGCATTCAAGAAACCCTAAAGATAATCTAGCATTAGCTTCTGCATCACACTGCATCACTGTAGCATAACTCTATTCAGAATTAAACCTCTACTCAACACAGCCTCTGTTTCCAAATACACTTTTCTGAGGCTGCAGTCAGGCGTGCCATTGGGTGTAGAGGGGAAGTGCCCCTATTTCCTCTGGAGGAATTTGACTCAGTCACATAATCACACATCCCTTTATGCTGTGGACTCAGATGCCACCTCCAGCAAGTGGGGGGGGTGCCTTTTGTTTCCCATGCGCATGAACAAGGAATAAAACCTCCGCTGGAGGGTTCCCTGTGGAGTATGCGGTTATGTACATACTGCTAAGCAAGGAGGGGGGAACCAGCACCAAGTTGGGATGGAATAAGCAGACCATCCCAACAGCTTGAGAGCGTGCTTGAGAGATCAGACTAGGGAAAATCCGTCTGTGGCCTGTCGACAAGTGTTAGGCTCGAACTTCCCCCAATGTCTTTTAATTCTGCTTCTGTGGCAGGGCAGCATGGGTGGCTAATGACTGCGGGATCTTTCCCAGATGTTGCTGTCTAATTGTGCCATTTAGATTCATCAGGCATTCGCAGCTATGTCGGATCTAAAGGAACGTCTGACCACAGCCTGAAACATACTAAAGACTGGGCTCCGTTTCTTAAGATTTTTCAGTTCAAAGCTCCATAAAAGAAATCTGTTGATGCCTCAAATAAATTGTACAGCCTACATATGCACAAATCTGCTTGTCTGGCAATGTTTTACCCAACAACAGTGTATACAAAGCAACACAGAGGAGTTGAGTATATGACCTCCCTGAAACTTGTCCCCTGATCATGAAAAATCATAAAAAGTGGCCCTTTGCCACTGAGCTGAATGTACACTGCAGAAAGATGAGGAACTAACTTTATAAGTGTTTGAATCCAGTTGGGCAGACTCAAGAGGTAATACAAAATTAATGGGAAATTAATGGTAAACAATAAATGAAACATTTGAACAATTAATTAATGGGGAAAATAACTGCAATCCAAAAGTTTCTCAGAAGCTGACCGTGACAGTACTGCCAAAGTGTTCTTTAAACACCATGTATACCAGCAGCCTGGGGATATTGTTTCCTTCTGAAGTGTTCTTGTACTTAATTACTTTTGAACTCTGCAGCAATGAAAGCCAGTTTGGAGATGTAGCGAAGGCTGCTTCTGAAACGAAAATCTTGCAGTGAACATGGGTATGGCCCACCCCCATTACTGTTCATATAGGCAAACTGACAGCAACACACAGCTACCTAAGAAATACAGCTGTAGCGATAGCACGCACACACATGTGCATCATGCACAGAGTCTGCACAGACTTTTGATTTTCCAGAAGTCTGAAAACAATCCTTGTAGAGGTTTAAGTTACAACCTTATTGGAGCAGGAGGGAAAAGGGAAAGACATCCAGAATACTCCTCCACTTTCCCCTGCACCTCTGCCTTGTCAAAACTATATCTTTAGAGTTCCACTTTTTTCACCATCATGTTTAATTTTGCTAGCCTTTGGGTCCTGTGCACAGGAAACTGCAAAGTATTACCTCACACAAACTGACTGAATACCAGTCAGGACCAAGAACATGAAGTCAAGAAACTATATATAAGCTATCTTCTGAAATGAAAAATGCTACCCAATATAAAAATATGAGTATCACAGAAGTAGAGAAAGCTTTCCATTGACTTCCATTTTGCATTTAGTTATCAGCAACTGATGATGCTGAAAACAAATGCTATGTGGTGCTGCCGTGAGATCCCATGAAAAGTCATTATACAGTGATCATCTCAAGACTGAGACGAAACCTTGCCCAGTGAGAGGATTTAACATCCAATGGAAGCAAACCACTGTCAGCTCTGAAAGGCCTCCTTAGAGCAGCCTAGTTGTTTTCTTTCATGGGAGCCTAACCTCATGGCTAATGTAGAACTAGCACAGGTGGCTGATAGGCCAAGCCAGTGCCTTAACTCATAAATCCTGGAGGAAGCAAGAGGATAGAGATTACCCAAAAAGTATTTAAATTATTAGTAGTAAAGATGTGAGCAAGAAAGGTACAATTACAAAGCAACATTGGATCAACCAGAGTGTTTCCATGGTGGAGGGATTTCTGTCCGGAAAGCACAGCTTTCTGGTCTCCCTCCTGCAGCCCCAAATTGCTGTTCTGAGGGCAGAAGCAACATCTCAGGGTCATCCTGAGCAGCAGCAAGAAGGGGGAAGTGCTCTGTAGGTAGAAATCCTTCTGTCTATGGAAGCACCCCAGTGGATTCAAGCCCCAATATACACTTTTAGAGCTTTTAATGTAAAATCACCTGACAAAAACCCTGCAGAAATTCTCACCTGAAGTATAATCTTTTAAGCGCAGGTTCTTCACTGGTGTCCCATCACTTAATTGGAAAGCACTGAGGATCTACAGAAACAAACCGTATCAGGGTAAGTATTGAAACCTACATTACACCCAGCAATTCTCCCACATGAAAATCCATAGGAGATCTGACTTTTTTTCACCACACAAAGATTAATATGACCTGCTTGATGCATAAGTAAAAATGAAAATCAAAAACTAGAAGAAAAACATGGGTTCTGGTGGTTTCATTCAGTTACTTTTGCCATATTTAAACAAAACACATACAAAAACATATAAGCTATTTAGGATCCCCCCCCCAGTTTAAATATATTGCTTTAAATACACTACATTTACATTTGCAGTTGTTTAAATCTAATGTGTGCTCCAAATGCCAAAGACTCATCTTATTGATTGCACTGACTTACACTGTGTAATCCATCTTGAGCCTCAGCCAGAAAGGTGGACTATAAATAACAACTATTACTATACTTGAGTAGTCTGAAAAGAGTTACTAGACGTAACTGATAGAATGCTTTGTGACACCAAATTCTTGTAAGTTTCAGAAATCCTTACTTTAAGTTGATATTTTGATACTAGAGCTTTAGAAAAAGCTATAAGGGCATTTTCTGGAATCAAAGCAATTTTCATCTTTTCTAGTTGCAAAGTAAATACAAATGCTTGGGCCACAAAGTAACTGACAAATGCTACAAATACTATTTGCAAGCTAGCTATCCTACTGTGCTCCTAGCCAAATCAGGTCAAAACTTCTGTGAATACCTCTAATGAATTCTTGCGTAAAATACCATGCAGAATGTAATCTGGCTCAATGTCTGTGAAAGAGAAGTCATGAAGATGGACTACAATTCTCACATCAGAAAATACTCTGGGAAAGAGAATATTAAAATTGCCAAATACAATGCCTTTCTGACACAGCAAGGCAGATTTTCCACAACAGATACTTAAAAACTAGATTGCTAGCACATGGCTAAACAGAAGGGAAGTTTACCTATACTGAAGTGTGTACATGTAGAAAGAAATGTCAATGCAGAGTATCACATCAAATGCTTCTAGAGAAGTTAGAGGAACTTCAGAAACAAGGTTACCAATCACTTACAACATCTTTTGTGGCATTTTCAGGAACTCCTCCTAGTCGAATCAGCTTGCTTGGTTTCACGTCTTTGGCACAGGGCCTGTAATCCTGGTCCTTCAAGATACAAATTTAAGAGAAATTTTATACAGACAACAGAGAGGCACAGTAGAGACAGTAATTCAAACACAATACAAGATCTCTCTATTCACTAGAAATTATAATAATATGATTTAGGACCATGTTCTAAATTATCTGTTCTTTAGTCCTAGGGAAGTTCAAATACAAAATCACATGCCCATTATTCAAATGAATTTGATTTCCATAAAGCAAAACAGAGCTATAGAGTTTGAGAAAAACTGGGAAATGAAGTAGATGGCTTTCTGATGAAGTCTAGAAACGATAGAACATCTTTGAAATACCTTAACTAATTGGGGATTTGCTGTTAATAACTCTGGCTGCAAAAACAGTAAGAAGTAATAAATAAACTAACTGTGGAAATGCAATAAACATACAGAAAACCAGGATATAAAACTATTAGCTAAACAAAACAATTCGTGTTCTCCAACAATTTAGCACACATACATATAGGCACAAGCTTTCCTGCAATTCACATACCTGAAGATCTGGCTGAGAATCTTTGCTAGATTTTCCTTCTCCAAAAGCCTTGCCATGTTCATAGTCAAAGAGTTGACTTCCTGGCAGCCGATGATCAACATCTCGATACTCAATGCCCCTGTAGTCTGTATCCTGTCTTCCAAGGAAATCCAAGTCACCTTTTTCCTTTGGTACAAGACCAGAAGTTTCGGGTGTTTGCTGTTCACCCACAGAAAACTCCTGATTGCTAGCAAAGGCCTGAGGTGCGTTATCTTGGTCCTGAAGAACAGGAAGAGGACCACAGCTACTTTGGAACTCTTGTGAAGACTCAGCCTCAGGATTCTGTTCTTGTGATTCTTCTTCTCCGGTTCTTGGCTCTGAATGTGAAAACTTCTCTTTTGGAGCAAAGGAAGACCTTTCCCTAATAATGTGTACAGCCTCTTCAACCTTGCCTTCTCTATCTGTTACTGATACTGCAGGCTGACTCTGCTGATATTCTACACCATCAGGGTCCACAGCAGGCATCTCTCTGTCTGTGAAATCCAGAGTAGGTGGCACATCCCTGCCCCTAAAATCTTGATCGGCCTGAGATTTTGGCCTATTTCTGAAGTTTGAATGGGATGCATCCCTGTTTCTGAAGTCTAGGTCAGCTGTACCCATACCCCTCAAGTCCATATCAGGCATATCTCTTTTCCTAAAATCTGAATACGGCTGCTCTCTGCCCCTGTAATCCTGCTCAGGCATCTCTCTTGTCCTGAAGTGTGAGTGAGATCCATCTCTGTTTCTCAAATCTAAATCAAATGGTCCCCTACCACGAAAATCTGGAGCATCTTCTCTGCCCCTGTAGTTCATAGTGTGTGTTTCTCTATCCCTATAATTCATATGGAATGCATCCCTATTCCTGTAATCCATGGGAGGAATTTCTCCTCCACCATATTCCATAGACTGCCCTTCCCTATCCTGGAAATCTCCTGAATACATATCCCTGCCTCTGAAGTCTGGAAGGAGTGGCACCCTACCTCTGAAATCCAAGTGTGAATCATCTCTGTTCTGGAAGTCAGAAGATACATAATCTCTGCCTCCAAAATCATGTAAGTGACCCTCCCCACCTCTGAAGTCACTATGAGGTCCATCTCTACCTCCATAGCTGAAAGCAGGTTCCTCTCTGTTGGCAAACTGAGGATTGAGGATGCCTGGGAGTCCCTGGATATCATAAGGAAGTGATTCTCTGCCAGAGAAGTTGCCAGAGTGTCTTTCTTGAGCAAGGCTATCAAGGGGAGGAGAATAGTCCCTGTTCCACCCGGGAGCAAACCTTTCTTCTTGGCTCCCACTGTAGAAATAAAGACAGCATTATTCATAATGTCTTTTGAGTTTGTAATCTACACATCAGCATGTTCTTCTCTAAACTTTTTACTGAGTTGTTTAACAGTAAGATCCACAGAAGAAATTGATGTCTGGTAGTTTTAAGAGGTGGTAGTATACGACAGGCGTAATAAGCAAACTTGCGCATTCCCATTTCACCATAATTCCCAGAAGAACTCAATATGGAAAACCTGAAATATTAATGCATTAGTGAAGGTAGCAATCTATATCATCTCACAGTACACATACATGGCATGTGCCATAATACACATAACTGGGAAGCCATCACATTGATATTTCAAGCTTGTTCAAGCAACAGTCTCATCCTACAGTCAATTCAGATGGAAGATTTGGATTCTTGCATTCATTATTTCCAAAAAAGATACAGGCAGCTTTGTTGGTGCAAACAAAAAATACCCCAATTTTAGCTGCCAAAGACAAGGATTGTAACAGGAGAATCTGGAATGAGAGCGTTTCTTACCCATCATCACAAAGTAATATTGCCCAATTTGGCTTCCACTGATCCTTTATCTACAGCATCATCTAATTAATCTCTGGGTTTGTTAATATAGCTATCACATTTTTTCCTATGCTTTTATACTTTAAGGGGCCTGATAATTCCTTTCAGGGCTAGAAAGGTATCTAATTAACTACTGGTTTTAAATTTTCAATAGGAGGCTGCCATCTTCCTTCAAAGAAGGCAATAAAAATTCAGTTTGATAAAAGCTCCACCCTACATCGTCTAATCTACTCAACTCTTCAAAACGTCCAAAAAAAGTTGGAGAAGAGGGTTTAAGGATCTCCCCCATACACACATTTCTCCCACATCCACTTTTATATGTGTGTGTTTTAAAATATCCAGACTAATGAAGAATTCTAAATGGCTTTTACTATTCAGTGAACACTTCAGGGCTGTGGTGGACAGTTTATTCAATCTATCAACTCAGTGTGCTGGATTAGTGACAAAGACAAACAGTGTTGGAAATTGTTTGAAAAAAGTATTGGAAATAATAGTTCCAATATCCTAATGCTTTACACAGATCTACATCATGTCCGTACCTGGAATACCATTAATCAAAAAAAGCCATGAAACTAGAAACAGTGTTTGAAAAGACAACAAACACTATCAAGGGACTAAAATGCTTTTCCAATGAAGCAAGGCTAAAACTTCTTTTTTCTTGTTTCATTTTTTTTGGGGGGAAATGACAGGGAAAGATATATTTGTACAGTTTCGAAAGGAATGAAGACTTGTTTCTGTTGGTACTAGAACTCAGGGTCACCTGATGAATTGCTAATTCAAGGCAGACAAAAGAAAGCACTTTTTGTGCAATACATGATTCTGAATTCACAGCCACAGGATGTTGAAACGGCCACTCTCTAGCTTTTTAAAAAAAGGGAAGTGAGTGGCCAATTCACAGGCAAGTAAACGTCACTTTCATGTTCAGAGGCAATATAGCTTCAGAACAAGTGCTCTTATGTAAGAGGGCCACAATGCTTTCAAGCCTGCATATGACTTCCCAGCAGCATCTGGCGAGAGCTGCTACTGGAACCAGAACGCTGGACTAAATTAAGCTTTGCTCTGATCTAAACAACCTCATGTTTTTAGTTCTACATTCCCTGGAGTTTATTTGAGACACAAAATGTTGAACTAGCTGAACCTGGAAAACAGGTACACAGGGTTTGTTGTTTTTGATGATTGCCCATATTTTTGGCATTCTTAGTATGAATCCATAGGTTCATAATTATTAAGTAATCTGATCAATAGTTATTAAGCATAACCATCATTTAACATTCCTATGTAATTATTTTTTGGCCAGGAAACAACAGCCTGCATGCATAAGCAAAGAACTTCAACATGTACACAATGGTGGTGGCTGACTTTTCTTTCTGTTGGTGACATTTCAGGCCTTACGGAATGCGGTTTTGGAGACCTTAACATGGGAAACTATTGTCAGGAGAAGGAAGCTGAAAAGCTCCAGTGCACATGCCGAACACTGCTGATAGTCCTTTGGATTCCATCTCTTGGCAGTAAATACTAACTGGGGCAAGTTATCAACATTATGCCTCTTACTAACATTGTCAGTATCAAAAAGGCTGTTCAAAATAAATTAGACTTCAGTGCAATTTTAAAACATTTTATTTAACGATAAACATTAAATTTATTTAATGATGATCACAAAACACCTTTCTAACTTTCTGAAAAAATACAGCTTAAATCATTTAATGAGTGGATAGTGTCATAAAAATTCCAATGTGTTCATTTATATTTAAGTCCAGTAGCACCCTAGAGACCAACAAGATTTTGGGGCTCCCCTTGTCAGATACCAGTATCCCAAAAATATTGCTGGTCTCTAGGGTGCTACTGGACTCATACCTAGCCATTCTACTGCAAACCAACATGGCTACCCTCTGAAACGATATTTATTTAGGGTATTTCTACACTGCCTCTTCAGAGTCCTGCTTAAGGTGTCTTACAATTAAAACAACGTCACAATATTAAAAATAAGGTCCATTTTTTTCTTACATGTGCAATTACCATATTCTGTATCATTTTAATGGTAACTTGCTAAAGTTTCATAATCTGGAAACTTCTTTAATGGCATCTGACACAGGAGTAAAATAGCATAAACATGACAAACAAGAAAAGTCCCAATTTCTTCACCTCTTTTCTAATTTTCTATTAGATACTGGTCTAAGACAATAGGTAACTGATTGTACTGATATTGTACTAAATATCACTTCCTCACAGGATCAGTGTCATCTGGATGGCTGCTGCATGCATATCAGAGGAGTCCCCTGGCAACTGGAGCTGCCCCCCCCCCTCCGAGGTGGAACCACAGACCCTGCTGGAGCCCCGCAAGTATGGTATCTATGCTGTTTGCCATCACTGCCTGTTTCTGTTTAACAATAATGCAGGTGGTGATTCCACAGGGTGACCTGGGAGCATCACCAATGCATTTCCTGCCATTCTGCTCAGTCACCAGTTCCAGCCCAAATCCTGGAGCATCCTGCCTTGGAGAGTCGTCTAGGGATTTTGTCCTCACATTCATGTTGTGTGAGGGACAGCTCCACCTGTCGTCATCCCCCCCCCCCCCCCCCCGGACCCTGGGAACAGTTTGCAAAGGCAAAGAACTATTCTAGACAGAAGGAAATGAGATGCACTGGACCTCATAACAACTTGCTGTTCAACAAAGTTGAAGTATTCCACAAACCTGCCTATCTGCTCATGCTGAGATTGCTGCTATTGGACTTGTTGATGCCAGTGGAATTGTCGAACACACACGAAGCTGCTTTATACTAAATCAGACCTTTAGTCCATCACAGTCGGTATTATTTACTGAGACTGGTAACACTTCTCCAAGATATTTTAAGCACTTACTGATATTCTTTAACTGGAGATGCCAAGGATTAAACCTGGGACCTTCTGCATGATAACCAGCTGCTCTGCCACTGAACCACAGCCCCTCCAAAGAGGTAGCTGCTGGGCTAAAATTAACACTGTGTATTTTTCTTCTTTATGTTCATTATTAAATATTTTTAAAGAGAATTAAAGCCTTCAACGTATCTCCTCAAAAAGATCTTTTCAGAACAACATTGGTAAGAGGCATAATTTTTCTTAAACACAAAAGAAGCAAGTTTATCATATTTATAAAACAAAGCAATAAAACCTGCATAACAAATATAAAACAAATGCATAAAATAACATAACATAAAACAATGGCATTTAATAATCTGACTAAAAATTAACAATGAACTCTGGTTAGGACAACAGATCTAATGGGACTTCAAATCGTTAACAACAATTTTCAGGAGTCACGCCTCCCCTCCAAAAAACCCTCAAAAGTTTGAGCAACCTTTAAAAAGGTTTCATTTGGCACTGAAAAGTTAGGAAATTTGGAAGTAGTCTGGGAGTTACCACTGCTATGGCAACATTCTTATATCTTAGGGGAAAAACAGTCTGTCTTGTTTTGAGTTTTCAGTCAAATCATATGCTGCATTATATAGAGATGAACAAAGTACGTGAACATTCCCAATTTTGGGGGGGGGGGGGGGGAGTTCAGCAAACAGATGTCATACCTGACCACCTGACACAATTTCCACTAAACTAATAGCCATTACTTCCCTCTGCATCTCACTTGCTCCTTTGCACCAAGAAGGGCTCTGTGCAAAAATACCCTCTGATCCTGAGAAAATAGTTTATTGATTAATGTTCTATTGTGGAGAGATAAGAATGGGCACTATACTTCTGACTAAACCAAAAAGGAACCATCCTCTGAGGACACCCTTGAAATATGGGGCAGAAAGAGCTTCTGTCACCTTAAATCACCTTTTAAAGCCCTAAAGCCTGCTTCTCAAGGTAGTGGCAGTGACTACACCAACTCTAGAATCCAACAGGCTGGGCACAGAAATTTCAGAGAAACACAGGAAAGCATAACCACCATCAGTTAAGGGAAGGAATGCTTTTAACACAACACAAAAACATATTAGCTCAAATTGCTCATTAGGACACCTGCAGGGGAGAATTTATCATATACTTTTGGTTTGATACTTGGCTGTTTGGTCTGTTATCAACTATTAGTAAGGTATACAAAGCAGGGATGTTCTGCTGTGCATAAGGTGCATCTAAAACACAGAGATCTAAGTATTATTAAAACAATGTATTTCCTATGAATAAATTAAATAAATAAATGAACAAATAAAATACTTACCGGAAGGGACCCACTCTGTTAGCTGGTCGAGGGTTCCCCCACATTTTGTCTGTGATAGGCAACCAGAAAATTGAGTTCCTCAGCTTAGAGGGAACACTGATTCAGCACTAGATTTTTATGCATCTTTACAGCTGTACAGTTTGGAGAAGGCCCGGGTATCAGTCAAGTAAAGGACGTGCAATTAAGGATGCTTTTTTTTTTTTGTTAAATTGCAGAATCTATGAGAAATAAAATCATACTTTAATCTGCCATTCATTTTAACCATCCATTTCCAACAAAAGGCCCTGAGACTATGCAACTGTTCTGGACTGGAAAAGTATCATTTTAAAGGTTCAGTAGCCAGCCAGGTTAAAGGTTCAGTGGTCTATTATTACCACATTTTATATTTCTTTTCCTAAGAGGTTTTTTATTTAAAAAGGCTGGATATGACATTGTTATCCTCCACCACAAAGATGACCATGGGTATGATTATTCAGTATCCAGAATCAGAAAGTTTTCCAGTTGCCACTAGCAGTCAACTAGCCCAAGGCTTTCTAGGCTATGTATTTCATTAGAATAACTAAATCAGTGATAATTTGGCTCAAATAGCCTTACCTCCTGTATTGTCCTGAGGGTCAAGAATTACTAATGGATAATTTATTCTGCCCTAGCAACCCACATTACTTGTTAGATTATGGCAAATGACTGACAGGCCAACAATGCTTTCCTATTGTGTACATACAACAACCAGAACAGTGAAGAAAAGGACAGAAATTAAATATTAGAAATGGCAACAGAGAAATGTACATGAACATTTCCATCTCATGACACTCTATTTCTTACTGCAAGGTGACCCTACTCCAGCAAAAACAAAATGGTTTAAGGGTAGACTAAGTGCAACACCATTGAACTAACATTCTCTTAACAGATCTGACAATTCCTTCTGACCAGTTGTAACCAAGAAGGAAGACAATACAAACAGTAATTCTGTCCCACAGGATGTTAAGCACATTGAGCCTCACCATGCAAGCATGAGTTTGCCTGGGCCCATTTATTTATATACACATAGGTTGGTTGACCTCTAATGATTGAAACTTATTCTATTCATTGACTTATGAGGTATTTGTGTCATTTAAAAAAAACCCTCACCTTCCTGAACAGTACCTGAACATATGTACATAATATGTTTAAAAAAATCATCTTCACCGCTCACTTCACGCATCTAATGAGGTGGTTTCTTGCTTAAGAAAGCTAATACCACAATTCATTTGTCAGTTCTTAAGATGACAGTTTTCACAATCAGAATCCTAACAACACACAAGTTTATTTCCATTCTCTTTATGCCATCCCCCTGGATAATATGAAAATTCCCTCCAACTAGCTAACATGCTGCAGCATCTAACACTACCATCTGAAATCCAGTGATTGCCCTCCCTAAAATTTTCAAGTCTAGCTTTCCATCAGATCCCTTCCAGGCCTACAGCTTCAGAAACTGGCATACCTTTTCCCCCTGCATCACACATCCCCTGCAACTTAGTTTGCACTCCCTGTACCATTCCACAGAACAAGCTCCTGAGATGCCCTTTAACAAAACTCCCTAGAAAAAGGTCTTTCTCCATTTGTGAATTATACCTTTGTAACTTAATCATTGCCAGAAGTAATCAGTCACACCTGTGTATGACATTCATACTCAAGTATTTCAGATCCAGGTACACACAAAGCTCAAAGGGAGTCCAAAAGCAACCAAACTGTAAAATATCTGACTTGGGGGAAAAAGAGCACAGAGAAAGGAAAAAACAATACATAAGGTGAAGAGAATGAGGAAAATACAACAAATATATTATCATCTATTTACACGCTCACCAACTGTGTAAAAACTCAGCCTACAGATATTTCACTCTGGTCCTTCTCTTCTATATGCCCCACCGTGAGGCATACACACCCCAACATGGTAAGCCAATGTATGCAAGTCCTATGACCAAGTACTGTTCTTTGCAACACCTACGTGCTCTTCGAACTAAAAGCTTAATACAACAACAGCTAGCCCCACTGCATGATCTGTTTCTAAGCCTTAAAAACTATCATCCAATTAAGGAAACGTTAATAAATCAATGATACCAATTTTAATCAACAGGTCAAGTACAGCTGCACAACAATAATTTTTGGGGAAAGTGCATGCTATTTTAAAATACTTCATGCATATTCACATGCTCTCATGTGGCAACTACAGTCATCAGGCTGCCCCCTATGGGCTGTCATCCTACTTATTGGCCCACCTGCTATTGACCAGAGCCTGGGCCAACTCCATTGTGGCTCCTGCACTGTACAACAGGCTCCCTAAAGATGTGAGGAGAGTCATGGGGGGGTCTTCAAAAGGTGCTGCAGGGCTTGCTTGTTTGTTAGGGCTTTTGAGGATCTATGAATGGCAAGAATCTTTTAGTGGGTGGGTTTGGGAGGTTTTACTTGGGTTTTAATCAGCCATGTTTTAATTATCATTCAAAAGCTACCTTAGGCCAAGAAGAAATTTGTGGTATAAATATTTTAATAAATAATAAATACATTTGCTTCAAAGGCGCTATCTTAAAATATGCATGCCCCTCTTCTCTGCACTAAAAATAATAAGCATTTTTAAAGTATGCTGTCCAATTAATCAAGAACACACAGTTAAAATTGAATGAAAACCACTTCAGTATTGAGCTCTAAGACCATTTGGTACAATGGCTTTTAGTCTCTGCCACAGATATGAGGGCCAGTGTGTTGTAGTGGTTCAGCCTAGGAGCTGAGAGATCCAGGTCTGAATTCCCACTCTGCCATGGAATTTTGCTGAATGATATTGGGCCAGTCACACACTCTTAGCCTAATCTACTGCCAGGGTTGCTGTAAGGATAAAATGAGGAGAAGAAAACAATGTAAGCTGCTTTGGGTCCCCACTAGAAAGAAAGGCAAGGTACAAATGAAATAAATAAAGTAATGACATTTGCACAATGATGCACTCCGAATGCCTTGAGTTTGCATTTTTTTTTTTTAGTATAAGGTAAAGGTAAAGGTTCCCTTGCTCGAAAGCCAGTCGAATCCGACTCTAGGGTTGCGGTGCTCATCTCCGTTTCAAAGCCGAAGAGCCAGCGTTGTCCGAAGACGTTTCCGTGGTCATGTGGCCGGCATGACTAAACACCAAGGCGCATGGAATGCTATTACCTTCCCACCGAAGTGGTACCTATTTATCTACTTGCAACTTCTTGCTTTCGAACTGCTAGGTTGGCAGGAGCTGGAACTAGAGACGGGAGCTCACCCTGTCTTGCGGCACCCGGGTCTTGAACTGCTGAACTACTGACCTTCCACAGCCTGCAGTTCAGCGTCTTAACCACTTGAGCCACCGCAGCTCAAGTGGTATAACATTTAGTAACATTAGCTTAAATTACTACCTGGTGCCACCAAACGAATAAAATTTAACTTGATTTATTTGATTTCTATTAACGATGCAAGAAACTGCCTTAAAATGCCTGCTACATGCCTAGTCTCCTCTGGTATATCAACAATACCTCTCCAACAACTAGCGTGCCCTCACTGATATTAGAAATTGCTTAACTGAGAATGCACCTGGATCTTTCTACATATAAAACATTACTTGGCTCCATTGTGTACCTCCCCGCCCCCATACTCGTGAATATATACCCCAACTAAGCGTACACTTATCGATGCAGCAGGGCCTGGCTCACAATGCTTGCGGCATAAGGCGACTCTATGGCACCACAAGACAGACGAGCGCGACTCTACCACTCTGAAAGGTGCTCAGACGAGCGCATCACGGCCCCTCCACTCACCGTCCACAAACCCGCAACTAACGGAGCTTCACCAGCAATAGCGGACTTCCACCAGCATCACTACAGGGTCCGCCTCCCCTTCCCTCGAGCTGCGTGTCTCCAGGCCTCCTCTCCGCAAAAAAAAGGGGCACACTGAATTCCCCCTCGCCCATATAAGGCTAGCCCTGTAGGCCGCCGAGATACCTACTACTGACCTCTCCGCCGCCGCCGCCCCCTCCCCGCGCGGGCCTGCCAGCTCCGAGCGCGCGTCCCGAATGTCGCAGCACCTAGGAGAGGTAAAGAGCTCCCTCCTCCACCTCGGGAAATGGGGGGAGGAGCGGCCGGTGCACGGCGTCGAGGGAGGAACCCTCCACACGCAAACGAGACGCAGGGAAAAGATTCTTACCACACACAAAAAATATATCGTCGGTGGCGGCAACGCGACCGGGCCTGAAGGAAGCCGCACCACCCACGAAGAGGAAACCGGAAACTCCCGTAACGCTGACCCATGTGACTCTCAACCCCGTTGCGCACGCGCAAGATGGTCGCGCCTTTTCATTTTTATGGTGCTCTGCGCCGAAACGGAATAATAAAGAAAACTGTAACTCACTCCCCTCCACAATAGAAAACAGGAGTTCAACTACATTTCCCATGATGCCTCGCAAACCTACTCCCCTCTTGTCCCACTTTGCTTCGCTATGCATGTCGGACCTTGTAGTTTGCATTTGACCCTGCAAGGCCGCCTTCATAAACATAAACACATAAGAACGTAAGAGAAGCCAATGCTGGATCAGGCCAGTGGTCCATCCATTCCAACACTCTCTCACACAGTGCCCAAAAATACCGGGTACCATCAGGAGGTCCAGCAGTGGGGCCAGGACTGTTTTGGATATATTCCTGGCCCAATGTATATCTCTGCTGCCGGTTTGTATAGTTAAATGTGCTTTTATTGGCATTGTATATAAAAATATTGGAATGGAAAGTTTTGAGGATTTAATAACATGAAATAGGGCTTCCTGCATCTCAGCTTCAGTTGCCCCCGCCCCTCTGCAATGCGTAGATAATAATACTAACCTATTGTAGGGATTTGTGAATCCATGTATTTCGCATTGTTATTACAAATAAGATTTTCACCACAAAACAGGCACCAAGGTTTTTTAGATCAAACAAAAGCTTCCGTCTGCCTCTTTGGATTTTCAAATGTTGACAGATGTATACCAACTGGGGGTTGTTTTGTGGGGACGGGGAGAAGTTGTGAGTCTCATCTCTTGTCCACATAAAACACCAAGT